GGATCAATGTATAAAAAAAAATGCATATTACACTTTTTTCAATATTATACATTCATTCGGCTGAAAATTGAAAAAAAAAATTTACACAGAAATGTCAGAATCGGAGGTGCCGAAACACCCGTCGGTTCTAGAGTCTAGAGCCGGGCGTACGGCGCGGCGCTGTCGCGCGTGCGCGCGCGCATGCGCAGTCGCGGCAAGTGAGCCGCGGAGGCAGCAGCCGCCGCTGGTCGCGCTCGGGCGTCCCGGCCACGCTTCTCTTGTCTCGACGTCCTCGCGGAACGCCCTTCGTCGCCGCGGCTCTCTCCGGTGAGGAACTTCCGAAGCGTCCGGACCCCGCTTGACGGTCCGCGATCCCCCGTCTCCAGGTCCCGTCCACCAGCTCCGCGACGGGAGCGGAACTCCGCTCGCGACGGCGACGTGCGACGCGACACGCCTTCGTGCTCGCCGACACCCTAACCCCCTCGGAACCTTCCGCTGGGTTCCTTCCGTCTCTCGAAACGTGCCTCGAGATCTTGTCGCCATTTTTTTCGCGAGGCGAGTGTCACGAGACGCCCGACGCCCGACGCCGTTTTCTACAAATGGCAAATGCGAGTTACGTCGCGGCCACATCGTTCGGTCCGTCGTGTCGTGGCGTTCGAATTTCTTCCCACGGAATCGCGGATCTACGCGATTCTACGCGTCATATCGCGCGTGAGAGAGAGAGAGGGAGAGAGAGAGAGAGAGAGAGAGAGAGAGAGGAGCACTCGTGCAGTGACGTCAACGGTTTCGGAATTCCGAGCGTAAAAAACACTCGGCGATTATCCGCCGTCCTCTCCGGTTGACTCCTTCTCTTTCTTTCTCCCAGAGATAGGATTTTTAGAGTAGAGGATTTTTACGTCGCGGGTCGAAACGCGCGACGCGAGCTTTGCGTCGTGGACGCGCCGAGGAGACGATTATTTTTTTTTTACTCCGTGAGAACCAAGGACTGCGACGTATCGAAAAATGTCGCGAGTTCGCACGAGCCGCGACACCTGCGGACCTTCGGTGTGTTTTGCGTCGATAACATCCTCCCACTTCCATCTATAGATTTATATCGCGACGGAAATGCGCGGACCGAGATATCCGCGCGCATCTATTTCTGTGGATTGTATTATCATTCAGCGATTCTCGCATCATCGCTCGCAATAAAAAGGATCTTCGTACGAGTGACGCGCTCGCTCGCGCTCGCGCGCGCGCGCGCACGACTCCGAAGCTCCGAGTTCGAGAAAAGTGGCCGAGCCGTTGTCGAGCCACGCTCGCTCTTTCGACTCTTTCGAGCTACGAACGTGGAGATATAACTGGACCGGCCCCGCGGGGCCGTACGCGTTACGTGGAGAAAAACCGTGCAGGGGGGATTGAATTGCTTGTGGGACACGCCATTTTGTTCGTACGGGAAAACGCGCAAGATTTAATAAATCGAGAGTAACAAAACAATCCGCGCGACTGTCCGTAGGAAAGCGGATAGTTCCTAAACGGTGGGGAGAGCTTCTCTCCGTTGCTTTTGCGAAATCGTTCAAAGGGGGAGAAACGTTGGGGGAAGGAGCGTCTTATCTGTTTCGTGAAAAAGAGCTTGGCGCCAATCGCTGATTTAGCTCGCCTTTGCGAACAATAACTCGGTCGTATTCTCGTCCGCGCATTGTGCCGCGCCTGTAGGCGCAAAGTCGCACGGCGATCGTTGGTGGATTGAGAAGAGGCAATGATGAACCTGTGTCTCGATGACCCTTTGCAGATCTAGGGAAATTTATGACAATAAATCTATTGTAATATATCTGTTTTAAGTTTGTTATAATAATGAACCTTATGGAATGCTTGGGAGCATCGATCTTCATGCTCCGCCGATTTTTGGAAAGTTCAACCTCTCGCGATCGAAGTTTCTCGGAGTGGAAATTTTTGGAGTCGCGAAAATTCGTGGATATTCAGTCTAATATCATCATTATTAATAGGATTGATTATAGGTTCTCGTTACGGGTCGCTTATCTTATCGTTAATCCTAGTACGATATTGTTATATCATCGCGCGATTTAATGACCACGTTGCTCGCAGACGTTCTCTTGACCGTTACCTTGAATAGAGTGTGAATGTAAAGAAAAAAAATGGCTAGATCGACTCTACCTAGCCTCTTGGTAAGTTATACAGTTGCGGAACAACTCTTTCCCGCACGATAGTCAGGGGAACTTGATACGCCACACTGTATATAGAATAAGAAGAAGAAGGCCGTATCTTTAGGCGAAGCGGGAAAGACGTATAATCAGATGGAACCCGATTAACTGCGCCACGTGGTCTGTGCGTTGTGGTTTCCCAGACGAAGCGTTTGCGTCTTTTCGAGCAGCCTGCGACTCGTGCAAGCGAAATACAAGCTGGGTCACGTGGGAGCACGCTTTACACCTGAGACACCTGGAAACGTGGTTGTCGAAAATTATAACCAATTAAAATAATCAAATTGTTTTTTTTTTTTTACGGTTCTAAGCGCTTGGTCTTTACCGCAATATTAACCCCAGGTAGAACACGAAAGTCGCGACGAAGTCGAAATGACGGCAAAGTGACCTAAAAATCGTCGTTTTGACATCAATTTCGACTTGCCGTTTCTACCTGGGAAATTGCGCGTTGCGTGTGTTAACGACATGTGTTCCATCTTTTGTTTGCTACGCCCTGCGCGCGAGTCGCGGTCCAATTATTTTTTCTATCCATGCTGCGCGAACCGCAATAATATGCACGCGAACAAGAGAGGAATAATCGCATGTTAGGCTCGCGTACGAGATAGAAAGAGAGAGAAGAGGATGTGCTAGCCGTACTTGAAAATATAGAAAGCAAAAACCTTGCGAAGTAACAGACAGTTATTTAGAAACAGAAAACGCATCTCATTTATCGGACGCACAGAAGGCTGTAGACTTACTCCGATATCGTTTTGTAAATTAAACAGAAATATAGTTTTCTTCGCGATATACGTCACACACACACACAATTCTCTTGTTTTTACTCCGAATTGTATTGATTCTGAAATATTCACACATTACTGTAGAAAGATGTTATTGATTTTTAATTTCGTTGATGCTGCGTAGATTTTTCGTGCCATTATTTATTCCATTTTATATTATTCAGTGATATCTTTCGTATTGATTTTTTTTAGCTGTTGGCAACTACTTAATTAGCTCTGACAGCTCGTTCCCATTTTATCTTGGGGAGCGTTACTGCCCTTCTCGATTGCACTTAGAAATATATAACTCAACAAATGAACCGAGCACCCTAAAATCGCTCGGCGAATCTTCTTTTACTTCTCGCCCCGTCGTAGCGCGTGTATTTTCGCCGTTCGTTACTTTCCCGTATTGCGTAATACGGGATTGCATGCGAGGGGAACATAAAACACGACAAGTTTCGAAGGACGATGTTTCGTGAGTCGGGCTGCAATGTCCATCGACAGTGCGTTTAATTTTATGTTTATTGGGTAACCATGCGATATTGTAAACCGCGGTTCATAGTTCACTGGCTGCATGTATGCGACATCGGTGCACTCAAATCGGTGGGCAAGTATCGTCGATAACTTTATGAACTATAAAGCAAATGTGCTATAAGTATACCTATAGTTCAAATGGTGTTCTTAAATGCTTACAGATATAATATATTCAGTAGATATATATATGTAAGGTTATAAGTAGAGAGTCTTTAGTCTTTTCGAGCTCAGTTGGACGTTGTCCGATATATTTAAATCACATTATTTAAATAATTTCAATTCAACAGATGCTCTACACTCACGTTTGATATATATTATAAAGTGCATAAAGCTTAGTGGAAAGACATGCGACACACACACACATACGCACACGCAGGCATATTATCTTAATACTATGTTGACACTCTTATACTGTTGTTCTTCGTTGTACAAGACTCAATGTCGAGAAATGCTACTTACTAAGTTTCTGAGTTATAAGGAATGCAAATGTGATGCAAATATACTAGCGATATTCTTATACTAGCGTTTCGAATAAATACTTAGAGAATACATGCTTCGTCATAGGTCATGTTATAATTGGATATATTGACAATGTATATCTTAATTATTAATTTATGTTTCATCGTAGGTATTTTTTGCAATTTTATACAAAACTATTAATCTAAACTTATTTATCACGTACTGCGAGGAAACATAAATAGTAAATTCAACAGTAAATTAATCCATTCTTGATACAAATATTGCCTTACATAAATGCTTTTATAAAATTTAAAATAACATCGATATGAAACGAAATGAATAAAAAATAAAATATACCAATGTTTTTTCAATAGAAAACAGAATAACATTCAACGATAAACATCTAGTCGCAATCAAATATTATTCGCAGCATTTATATTTATATATATTTAACGTCGAAACGTTACTATATCTCTTAATTTAAAATATAGAAAGTGCATTGAAATAAATTATCAAAATAATTATGGTTTGTCTCTGCAGAATCGTCGCCTCTGTTCATTTGTATTTTATCGTACTTTTTTCTTCGTATCGGTGCCTTCTTTTACATAGATATCATCCAATTCATTGACTTGATGCGAACAGTGAGGAAAACCCTGTCCTATCAGGGTTGACTTTCTTTGGTGTTTTAGGAAGTAACGAAGTCCCTTTGCGATGCCGAAACCAATCATAGCTATCGATATCGTTAACAACGCCATCAAGAGAGGATGCTGCAGCAGAATATGAAAGAATTATATCGCGCATACGACAACGACGGTGAAAGTAATCTAATTACGATTATTACCATTTTGACAAATAATTTAAAAATAGAAAGAACGAATCAATACCGTTAGGGTGGGCTTGTTTGTAAAAACATAGTCGGCGATCACGACTGTGACTCCTAATATAATACCAACGCCAGCTCCTAGCCATGGGATCTGTTGGTCAGCTGTGAAACATTATTTCATTATGTTTCGGTTTTCATAGTTTTCAAGATAACTCTGTGCCAAGTACCTCTTCTGTCTTTAATCAACGACCTGGACGCCTTGTTCATCGCCTCTATAATCTTAGGCTCGTTTGGCTGCAAGACTAGAGCTTTGTTGTAAGATTCAAGCGCTTCGTTGTAAGATGATAGTTTCAGTTCGACCTCGCCCTTCCTAAAGTAACCCTGAAACAGATAAAGAGACACATATTTATTCTTTGCTTTAAAATCAAAGCCTAAAGGAAACAATTTTACTGGATTAGTCCCATTTTGAATGATCTATACAAAAGTGTCGTTTTACATACTTTGGACCAGTCGGGCTTCAATTGAATGGTCATCAGAGCATCGTTCAGGGCGTCACGATACCGTTCCATCATCAAGAAGGTGAAGGATCTGTTGCTGTAGAGAGAATAATTCTTTGGATCTAGTTTGATGGCATGCGAGTAATGAAGCATCGCCTTCTGATATTTTTTCTCCCTAACATACGCGTTTCCCTGCTGCTTGAGGTTCTCCACCTGAATAAAGAAAAATGCCTTTATTTTGCGCATCATACATATCATACATATATAATACCATGTTTGCGTTTGGAGGTTAATGAGAGAAGAACCGGCCAAAAAAAACCGGGCCAACACCGGCGTCTCTTGTCATGCGAATAATTGAAAGGCCCATCGTAGAGGCGTACTATTTCTCTCGGAACCGTTATCTGGTTTGTACAACGTTGATAAGCACGACACTGCAAAAAGCTTTGATAAGGCTCACCTCTGCCTCCGGCGCATTCATACTTTCATTCACGGTATTCCTGGTTTTCCAGCAAGTAGGAGGAGCCTGAGGCTTTATCACTCACGCGATAAAGTCAAGTCAAATCGATCGATTGAAGGACCCGTCCTCGGGGTGTTGTTCTTGATCGAATTGTAACTTCGTCGAGGAGCAGACGAGCACCTGTCATGTCCACCGACACCCCGGACGGGTGCATGCGCGGAGCGGCGGACGTAAAACAAGCAACAAATGTGTGCGTGAATCTCACGCGAATTGCGCATGTATTCCTGCGTCATAATGAAAACTCTCGTATAACGAAAGCATACCGGATTTTTACTCACGGCAATATCAACGATGTTTTATCGCAACTGTAAACAGCGATGCTCCGAATCTTAAGAGCGATTTCGCCCAAACTCCGACTAGCTTTAATTCCGAAGGATTAATCTCCGACGAGATTAATTCAACCGCGGCAGAATTGCCTAAAGTGAAATTACGCAATTCATCGTTCCCTAATCTAATCTTGCTTTCGGTCTGTTCAACAGGAAATTAATAATTCCATGTTAACAAAATACTTGATAAGTTAATCGGAGTTTAGTCGAAGTCACCTTGATTAATTTAATCGCCGATTAATTCAACCGGCAGAATTGACTAAAGCAAAATTATATATAATTCGTTGTATGTAATCGAATCTGTCTGTGCGTTAAATTACAGGAATATAATTAATAACTCTATAATGTTAACAAAATAAGGCAAATATTACTCGATAAGTTAATCGCCGATTAAGTCAATCGAAATTATCCGTAACCCATGTCCTTATTACGCTCTTTATTTACGCGCAAATTGTATCTCTGATCGTGCTGTTACGTATATCTTTTTTTTTAATGTAAACGCGAACATATGCTAGATTTCCATTTTCATGTCTACGTGACGGTTTCGACCGAACTCCGATTAAACTTATCGAGCAAATATCTGCACGTTTTGCTAACATGGATAGAATTATTTTGTTTTGACACGCGCGGAAAGAACGATTAGATTAAGGACTATGAATAAGACAGTTTGAAGTTTAACGAGTAAATTCTGCCGATAGCATTAGTCGTCGATCAAGTTGATCGAAGTTGGGTCGAAGTAATTTTACCACTTTTATTGGAACAGTGGAAAGTTTTATCAAAATAGCGGGAACGGAATGGAAAGAGGAGAACATTCAGGCCGAAGGCGGGGAAAGCAGAGGCGATTCTTTCGTTCATGATTTTAATGTTCGAAATTCTTCATTTCATACAAATTAAGTGTGGGGAGAGTTATAATACAAACTTAAGATATATACATCAATATTTCGTGAAAACTGCTCACAATAGCTATGCAACTTATGTCCGTTAAATCCCGCCAGATCATTCGTATCCTTTAACCGTCTTATTACCATCTTTTTTTTTGTATGATTTTTTTTACTGCCGTCTAAATTTACCTCGCGTACGCTATATGCAACAAAACTTGGCAAGTCGTTCGAATAAATATAGTTATTATTTCTTTTTCTTATTAATTTTCCGCGATCTTTGCGTTTTTCGGAGTGTTCCCTCTCGGAATCGGAGAATCGGCATTCGCGACCCGCCTCTCGCGTTTCTCACGATCACGCCTCGCTTTCTCAGGAAGTCACAAATCCGCGGAGAGAGGAACATCTCTCTCGGATCTCTTCGCCACGAGATACGCCACGTTCGCACCGCGGACGAGCTTTGTCGCGAGCGAGTCGACGCGCCAGGGTGTTCCTTCGATGCCTAAAATCGTTCGCTTGTTACAGGGTGTCCTGGAACTGTCCTTCGAATTTTACGCGACAGACGACGAGAATCCGGGACGTCTTTTTGGCGGAAGCTCAACGCGTCGCTGTTCCCGAACGACGATATTAATATTAATAACGAAAAAAATTCGTTTGTCGAACGGCCAATATAGTTTCTCAAGTCCAATATATTTTCTCCAGCATTCTCTTTCGTCTCGGACACCCTGTATATCGCGTACTTCGCCGACGCGACTCCCGCGAGAAATGGACAGAGAGAGATTGTTGTTGGGACTTACTCGCGGAGAGCGCGGACGACGAGGCCCTCGCGCTTCTTCTCGCGAGAGGAATTATGTCGCTAATTGTTCGAGAACATCAGAAAATTTTATCCTCCCGCGAGAGAAGGCGCGAGAGCCTCGGCCGCGGATTCGCGTCGCGCGTACGCGGCGGGACGGAAATCGGACCGGATGCGGCCTCGGCGTCGTTCTCGACTCGCTCGTGGGTGAGCTCGCTGAGTGCTCCCCGATCGTACAACCGCGTGGTCGGTACTCACAATTAGCGGGAATTCGACTCGAGTCGATTGACTCGTTAATACAAAATCGAATTAATTCGCCGCGCGCGTACGAGTCGATCGAGGCTCGCCGGCGGAGGCCGGAGGCCACGTTTCCCCCGTGGCGAATCTCGCCCCGTTTTAACAGACCCGCCTTCGATCTACGTTACAAACAATGGTTTCCCCCGCGCGGATAACAAAAAGGCGACGCACACACGCACACAACAACAACAACGCGTAGAAGCCACACTCGGGCCACTTTGTTCTCTCTCACTCTCGCGCGACACCCAATCGAATTCAACGCAAACTGGAAGATTAACAACGACGAAGGTTTAGATCGTTAAAAAAGGAAATTATGTACAAATTAAATTAGCGTAACAAAGAAAAAAAAAGAAAAACAGAGAGAAACGCCGGAGACGGGAAAACTCGCCGATTCTCCGCGCTCGAGAGCCGCAGTCCCAACATATGTACACGTCTTCTCCTCGCGCGCGAGACCACGTGTTATCCGGTACATTCGCCGCGTATAAATCGCCGCAAACCCACAGGCAGACAGACGGACGGATCCATCTGCTGACACGCACGCATCACGAAGACAAGATCGCTTCTTTACGCACTCAACGCATCGCAGTTTGTCGTCGTCGATTTCATCAACGCGAATTATCGTCGTATTATCGTGTCGACTCGCTTTTTTTCTCTTCCTCCCTCACCCACCCTTTGTCTTGCCTTTCCGTCTTGTCACTGTTATCGTCACTCATTCTTCATTTTTTTTGTCGCGTGGCTTTTTTCCCCGCGCTTTTTTCTCAATGCACGATTCTCGAATAAACAGAAGCACGAGCACGGCCCGGGTTCGGGGACAATTTAAGGGGGGCCCGCGTGGAACGCGACGAAGGTATACGTTATTCCGGCGAAACCACGAAATGGATCGTGTCGATGCGCGAGGGAGGACACCGAAAAGTTTGAACAATGCGCGAGATTGGCCCCGAAACTGGCCAGAGAGCTCGTAAGTTCGCGGTGCACCTAGGCGGATATATTTGGGGGGAGTTTATGGCAGAGATATCGAGGTGTTGAGTTCGGATTCAAAGGTGGATTTTGAGGTCGAGAAAATGGAGCACGGGAGAACCAGGCACCTCTCACGTGGCGACAAAAACGACGGAATAAATATATATGCCGAGATCCCCCTTCCCCATCAATTTAAACATTTTACTTTCCACCGACATCGACGTTGACGTCTTTTTTCCGAATTGCTTTCGTTTGAGATAAGACAGTAAAAAATTGACGATGCGAGAAAGATAACGTGTAGGATGATTTGAGGAAAAATCGATATCAGCCACGGGTTTTCACGATACGCTAAAAATAAGGTAGAAACTATCAAAATCCCACTCGAGTAGAACTCGTAGCTGCACGGTTTTTGTTGCACATGCAAAGAGAGAGAGAGAGAGAGAGAGAGAGAGAGAGAGAGAGAGAGAGAGAGAGAGAGAGAGAGAGAGAGAGAGAGAGAGCTACTTTTAGGACGGAAACGAAAGGAATACATCTGGGAAGCAAGGCTGGATTTCGATCTGAACTCCTAGGATCGTTACAATCGAACGTGAAGAAGACAGGAACATCCTGAACAGTCCTTAGGAAAGTCGCGCCCGGAAGTCGTTTCGCGAGCGCGGCGATTGCACAAAAATCGAAGACACGATCGAGAAGGCCGACGGTGATAAACGTCGCGGAAGGGAAGGCGCGAGGAAGAGGGAGACGGAGAAAATAGACGCGACTGGATGTGAACTCTCCGATTTACCCTCCATAAATTACATCTAATGTATAATTAAAAGGGCTAATTAAATAATTAGATTGCCGTTGCGCGGAATGGAGTATACGGGATGGCCACAGCCTAAGTCTTAGTTTAAAACCTAATCTCGCCCGGGGGGTCGTAACGTGGTATATATATATACGACGCGGAATACGACGGATAACGCGAGCAAATTTTCGTCGACGAGAGCTCCAAGTGTCATCGGAGAGTCAACGAGGAAAATCTGCGGTTCCCCGATCCGCGCGATTTTCCCGGGGGGACACACGGACGGGGGTACGGCGCGTTCCACGCGGGCGGGAACCCCGAAAGCGGGTCTGCAAATCTTTTTCCTTGCTAACAATAAAGTTCCTCTTTATTCGCATTTTCGCTTTGTATACTTTAATTAGTGAATATAATATATATATATAATATTTATATATATGTATAGGTAATAATTGCAAATACAACTATGTAATGAATATACGAGCCTTTGTCAGGGGGAGCAATGCAGTCGTCGTCAATAAAAGTCACGGGGTGTACATTGTATATATACCTATACATGCAAATATCGAGTCGCCCGGTCGTCATCGTAATAATCATCATCATCTCTATCGCTCTGTTTCTTTCTCTCTCACACTCTCGCATTCTCATATTTATATGCACGTATACGTACGTGTACATATATATATACATACACACGTATATAAGTCCACTATTTTTTTTTTGCTCTCATCGTTCAATCCGCTTTTGCACTCGCGTGTGATCGGTACTGAAAACATAAGACTATCTTCTCGCGGTCCTTAAGTCACAATTGTCAGTCATCCGGAACGCAACTTAAGTTTCCTTCCGTTTCTAATATATTTTTTTTTAAGCACTTACAAAATATCCCTTCGCTCCTCGACTCGGCACGCGGCGATCGATCTCGTCTTCTTCCATCATTCGGCGGCGATCGATGACGCGGAAGAGCGCGGCTCGCTTCCGCCGATCTTCCGCGTCGAGATCGCATCGCGTTCACCGAATTGGCTCCTTTCTTGGAAAGAACCATTTTCTTTTTTTCCGACGAATACGTCTTCTTAATTCTTTTCAAGACTAAAAATCAGTCTAAAAAATTTTGACGATTAAGTCAGGAAGAATTTTTATATTCAGTCGGAGGACACAAGTTTACCTCGGGCGAGTATATGGGCTTTGAAAGCTCAACGAGATCGATCTCTAGCGCGTGCCGTGGACTATTTCTTATTTTGATATAAATTTACGACGGGGGTAAAAATGCGAGTTACGAATCGATCGAACATTGTATATATCGTTGAGATGTCGAACGATCTGTGCTTGCTCGCTCGTCTCTTCGTTCTTCTTCGTTCTCTCCTTCGCGATTCGCTTTAATCTCTAAGGCGCCTTTTCAGTCAACACGCAAATCCCTACGGGCCTCACTTCTGCCTCGGGCCCTCGCGATTTCTTCATACTTAATGTCGCGTCAACCCTCTGTCTACGGATGCTCTGTCTATTAAATCTGTAGAAATCTTCTCTCACATAATTGAACGAAATTATATAATCCAGTGACTTTTCCGATACTTTACACAAGCATTTTTTCATAATTATATATAT